TAAGATTGTTATTTTAGGGATTTTGTGATAATTTTTCTTAGGACTAATATTTTTAGTGGTTTATTATTTTAGTATGGATCCTTTCAATTTGAGTATTCATGGCTCTTATCTCTGGGAAATTTTAAGTTATTATGTTTCCATTTCTTCATTCACTTTCTCTGTTCTCCTTTTCTCTGTCTGAGACACCTAGAAACGTATTTTCTGAATTGATCCCCAGGCTTTTTCTTTATGTTCTATCTTTTCTATTATTTTGTTCTATCTTTTGAGATTTCCCTAATTATACTTTACACTTATTTCTTTATTTAGTTATTGATATATTCTAAGATTTTTTATTGTTTGATTTTTTTATGATTTTTTATCTTAAGGATGTGATATAGTTTAATAAATACAAGATTTAGAAAATTTGCATGATGATGGATTTCCTTAAATGCCTACAGCTTATTTACAACAAAAACATACTTTAAAATTTTGATTTATAAGGATCCAAAAGAGAATAATTTTTTCTGAATTTCCTCTTCTGAAAAAAGTTTGAGGGTAGAAATACAGTAGAGGGAAGAGGTTTTCTGTCTGTTTCACATTTATTTCATGCATAGTTTTTTTGCCATCTCATATCTTCTATCTTATATCATTTGTGGTTCAATTTTATAGTTAAAATATATTTTTATCACTGTAATTTACAGTAATAATATTAAAAACTGTTATTTACAAGTCAGATATGGTAAGCTAAGCAGAGGGACAAATAGAATAACATAAAGGATAGGTGCTAAAAATAACTTTGTGGAGGAATTTAAGAATTTGATCCATATTTTTGGCATTTAAATCCAGACTGCAGCATGAAGAGCAGAACTCAGGTTGTACTTTTCTGTATGATGGCTTGAATTTTTGCAAAGAACTTTGGACTCATGAAGATGCAGACCTGTGAGTGCCTATGTGGTTCTGTGACTTGGAGTTAGTGGCTGTCCGTTAACTAAACTGCCCATCTATAGCATCCTTATTATTACAATTAAACCACAAAGCCCAAACTCACAATTTCATTAGGCTGTGACTCTAAATGGTTCCAACTCCAACAAATGCTTTGCCAGACATTTATGGAGAAATAGAGTCTGCCAGGCAACAAAGTCCTCCCACAGAGAAGCTCACTGTTCAGTAGTGGGCAATGGCAAGTGGGGAAGAGACCAAGAGGCAGATTACTAGCATCATAAATGTTACTGATCTGTGAATAATTCTGCTCAACTTCCAAACCCTACTCAACCTCTCCACCACATCCAGAAAGAAACCAAAAATCTAGCCCAAGGAGTTCCTCTCCAAAAGGCTCTGAGAGAAAGAGAGGGCTTGAGGAATCCAGAATCAAACATCTGCAACCCAGATGCGCCTATCAAAGGGAGGGTATTTATCAGGCTTCGGACTGGTCAGAGGAGATATGAGTTATAGATACATTACACAGCCAGTTGAATAGAATTACCAAGATAGAAGAACTTGGCTTGTGTTTAGGGAAAGCTACATAAGCCAGATGTCTATTTCTACATACTAGCTTCCCTGAGAAAGAGTCCTCAAGGGTTAAGAAAAAAATGGGTGGGGGTGAGCATCCACATCAGGGAAATTGCAAACGTCACTGGCCATTCCCTATAGTACATTCTAGTGAGTCAAGCCAAGGGAATCTCTGTGCCCTAACATGAACTTGTCTTGCCTGACCTTTAAGTCCTTATCATCATTCAGACATTGATTCAGTCATTTTTCTTTTTAAAGTTATGCCACAGTGATAGAATCCTTTGCTTCTGTACCTACTTTCCATCCTTTGCTTTTTCTGCTTTTCTCCAGAGCTGAACTAAGTATTCAAACAAATTTGGAACTGTGTGGTTGTCTCTATTTTGGTTTCTGTACTTCAAATTTCATAATATTGTTGACGAGGAGTAAAATCACTAGATAAAAATAATTGGCTGAGCACAGCTTAACCAAGTCATCATTTATCTAGCATCACCCATAAAGCAGATAGGAGGATACTGTTTTGTCTGTTTTCTGAAGCTTGTGTTGGCCAACATCTCCATGTATTGATGACCCCATGTCTAGTCTTTGCCCTATTCCCTCAACTTTCTCAGGGGAAAAGGCCTGCTATATATAGAATGCTGGGACATGGTCTACTTCTCTCTACAGAGGTCTGCGTGAACATGGGCTGGGAGGTATCTTGTGGGACCAACACACAGTAGGATCTGTGACTGTATCCTGGAAGGAGAGCATCATGGGACAGGAGTGCAGATGCACGTGACATCACAGAGAAGTGGAGAACCTGGTGCTACACTGAGCTGGATGCTGGGGATCAGCTGTGTTCCGTTCACCCACACTCTGGCTGTTGAGCCAAAGGGAAGGTGGGGCAGGGCTGCAGCCGTGGTGACTCTGTTAAACATGAGCCAGGCTTCATTATAGGTTTCTTTTGAAGTAAAGATTCAAAGCTCCCTGAAGCCAAAAGAAACATGCATGGAGGAAAATAAGTGTAAGGGATAGAAGAGGGCAGGAAGACAAGCAAGGGAGGAGAAACTTTGAACAGGAACAGCAAGAAAAATCCCTCCAGTTCAGCATGCTCAGTGTACAACCTCTAAGGAGACAAGTCTCACTTTCTCCTACGCATGTCAT